TACCCTCAGTTCCTTTAAAAATCCAAAATGGCTGCTGCTTGTAAACAATCAAAATGGCTACACCCTTGGTCACTTTAAATATCTAAAATGGCTGCCGCTTGTAAACCTTCAAAATGGCTGCGCCCTCGGTCACTTTAAATATCCAAATTGGCTGCTGCACATAAATAATCAAAATGGCTGCATCCTCTGGATGGCCAAAAAAGTCCATAGCTCAGGTAATCTCCCTCCTTGCTCTTTCCCTCCCTAGTCATAGGTCACCAGTGCAGTCGTCCCTGCAGCCTTTGGTGACTAGGGCTAATCTTTAGGTCAATTCTCAGGTCCCAACACCACTTGGAAATATTCAGGCTGTCGGTCCTGTCAGAGTAGTTGATAGTTCACTGTGCCAACCATCTCCGTACTCACTGTTTTCATTCAGGTTTTTCCACTAGTTGGTGCCTAATCCACTTCTGTATATTGCCTTTCAAAGCTCAGGGTTCCAGGATTATTTTCTGTATCTCTGTCAATTGGTTTCTCTTTTCTTTGTTGAAGAGGGTCTGTGAAGCTTGTCTGCCTATTCTGCCATCTTACTGGAAGTCTCCAGAATAGCTTTTGAGTCTTTCATTTTATAACTAAATAAACTGAAGCTGAGAGAAGCTAAATGATGTTAGTCATAATAAGGACCATGCTATTTGTTATACATGAGAGTTTTGTATAGTTATTTTTTTTTTTTTTACTGAAAAGATTATCTTATACTACATTCTAAATATGACCACTATGCTGAATTTTAATATATTCTTTTGTCGGTAGTAGCAAATGAGAATGTTTTAGTTTGTTTTGTCTAACCTTGCTTTTTGTATGTGTATGTGCCTGAATGTCTTCTGAATATACATGTATTGGCTTGCTATGTGCCAAGCCAAATTTTAGAGATTTGCAAGTATATAATAGAGGCTTTATGCTATAGATCCAAATCATAGTATTTTCTTTCAGAGGGCTTCTCAACCTTGTAACTATATAGTTATTGTTGAGTGCCGTTCAGTTAATTCCGACTCACAGCAACTCATCCCAGTCTCCAGGCTGCTTCTAGAGATAGTGGAAATTCAGCAGATTGCCCTCAGCATCTCCCTCCCTCTATTTATTTCCCTCTTTTCCATCCTTTGGAGTACCCATACTAAGAATACATTTCCCAATTTCCCTTTAATTCTACTTTGTTCTAGGGAATAAATCTATCTAATAACAAGGATTTTAGGCTTGTAAGAAATGTTTTAAGATTGGAAGCCCTTTAAGTTGTGTCATTTATCACTGTCTAGACTTCAGGTTTCACCATGGGGCTTTTGGTTAACATTAAATTGGTCTACTAACTTCATGACCTAGGGCAATTAAGTTAACCTCTTTATCATTAAGTTTCCTCCTTTGTAAAACTAGAATAATAACAATAACTATCTGGTAGTGTAGTGCCTAAGGCACTTGACTGCAAACCCCAAGGCTGGCAGTTCAAACCCACCAGCCACTCCTTGGAAGGAAAGTTGGGCAATCTACTTTTGTAGTGATACTGCCTTGGAGACCCAAGAAGGGGTTGCTATGAGTCAGGTCCTGCTCAATGGCACATAACAACAACAACAACAACATCTCATTTGAGGGTTATGTAGAGCACTTAGCACAGTGACTGGTCTATAGTAATCTGTCTTATTAACTATTATCTATTTTTAAAAATGGAAAGACCAAGGCAGATCTGAGAAGTCAGTAACTACCCAGGGAGATAAAATTGGAGCTTTTATTTTTTAAATGAATTGTGACTGTATTGTATCCTCAAAGTAATTCCAGATTTAGACACAGATTCATCTTGAGATGATATCATGGTATCACTTGCT